ATGCTTCATTTTTTCTTATCTCTCTCTCTCTCTCTCTCTCTCTCTCTCTCTCTATCTATCTACATCCATCTCTTTCTTCTTTAAATTGATAAGATCTGGGCTATCTCCTCTTATATGTTCAGGCTTCTTATAATGGTAGCAAATAATCCCTTCTCCTGAAAGAAATTTCTTAGTTTTAAATTTAAAATTTTTTAGATTTCTTATACCTTTGATTTTTCTTCCTTATTAAACTTCCAAGTCTTCTTGAAAGCATGGAAACCTCATCACTATCTTCATTAGAGTTTGATGTACTAAGTTCATCATTATCATCAACTTATAAGATAATAGTTTTCTCTTTCTCTTTCTTTTTCTTAGAAGAGCTATCCTACTGATCTCTTTGAGCTATAATCTATTCATATGCTATCAAAGAACCCAAAAGTTGATCAACTAGATAAGTAGATAAATCTTCAGCCTTACTAATTATAGTTACTTTAGCATTTCATTTTTTTAGAAGGCATCTAAGAATCTTCTAAACAGAGTCTTGATTCTTATATGTTATTCCAAGAGAATGTAATGCATTAATTATTTTCCTTAATCTTGTATACATATTAGAAATATTTTTAGAATGAGACATGAAAAAATTCATATTCATGAATAAGTCTATTTATGTGAGTATGTTTAACATCCCTAGTACCTTTATACGTTATAATTAATTTATCCTAATTTTTTTTGTTGAATTTAATATGGAAATTTTCATGTAATCATCTAGATGAAGTGCACAATGCAAAGTATTACTTACCATAGTATTTAGCTCATCTAAATCTCTCTCTATTATAGTCCATTCATCAAAAGATTTTTAAATTTTAATTCCATTAATTTCCTTAGAGGGCATATGATACTGGTGTGTAAGCATATGCCACATATGAGAGTCTTGTCCTCTTAAGAATGTACTAATTCTATTTTTCCAATAATAAAAAAGAACATTATCTATTAGTTATGGTTGATGAGTGGATTATCCTTCGGGAAGTGAAACCTTAGGAAAACCTTGTGCCATAGTTTGTTAGTTGATCTACTCTAGGATGTTAAGTCAAAATAAGAAGAGCCAATGATAAAATACCAATTATTGGATTACTATGGTACCCAAAGAGAGGGGTGAATTAGGTTTTAAAATTATTAAAAAGGAGGTAATTAAAATAATATTAATGATATTTGGCAAAGAGAAAGTAATCACACATTTGTTTTTTATAAAAAAGACAAAGAAAAATAGATGCAATAAAAGAAAATAACATTCACAATATTTTATGTGGTTCTGCCTGGATTCCAATTCAGTGTACGTCCACACTAGCCAACTCTCAGGCTAGAATCCACTAATCTCATGTTTTCCTTTGTAAACCTCACTTCTTTAAACCAAAGAAGTTTTTTTACAACCTAAGTACTTTCCTAAATGGGTGAGTATAACCCAATCTGATTATAATTTAAACTCTACTAATTAAAATGACCTAGATCAAGAAAAAGAAAATTTTAATTTAATGTAAATAATACAATCTCAAATTATCTTGTAATAAAATGACTAAAATATTTGAGGTGATATTACAATTTAATTTTAATCACCATAGTATTTATAAATGAAATATAAAATTTACTCACTTTAACATAGATTTATATTTTGATAAAAATATGAAGAATATTTTAAATAAAAATAATTTTCTTGATAGTTTTAAACTATAACTCCTCAAATCATATAATATTTTTAAAAAAGAATCTAATTTGAAATACAAATTTATGCCACGCAAAAAAAAATTAAAATACTTGCTCTATTATCTTTATGTATTTAAAAGATTTAGCATAGAAAACTTAATATAACATTCTCAACTAGTATTTCATCAAATAATAAATATTTTTAAGAAAAATATTTAATAAAAACTAAAAGAACAACAAGTAAATATTTAGAGAAAGAAAGCAAACTCAAGATCTCCAAAAGATATTACACGATTTAGTGTGTTGAAGATTTCCAACCAAGAATTTAATCTTGCAAATGAAAAAAACTCTTGGATTGAATATAAAACTTTCTCCTCTCAAGATTTATCCTATAAGGAAGGAGAAAGGAATGGAGAAAATGGTGGAGTTTCTTTTTTTAATAGTCCTCACATAAAGAAGAAGAGGTGTATTTAAAAGAAAAGGGTATAAAAAGTCAAATTTGAATAAAACTATTAATCCAATATTAACTTATGAACTAATAATATTATATTTGATAAATAACTCATTTATTTTAAATAAATATAAGTTTCAAACAACTATAAAATGACTTGTCACATGGACAAGTCAAACAGTCTTCATATAAATCCAAAATAAGGCAAAAATGGTTACCCATTAAATAATTTTAAAATTAAATAATGTGTAGAAGTTTATTATAAATTCAATATAGCTCTAAATGAGTCATATAACATATCATTTTCTATCTTAAAAAATCCATGAAATCTAATCTAATGAAATAAAATTTAAGCCACATTTCTATCAAAATAATACAATATTCAGCAAAATAAAAACTTATTCATATTTTAATGTATTTAAATATTCATACAATAATATGATGTAATTTAAATAAAATTTATTGCATATCACTAAATTTATGTGAAATAAAATAATATTAAAAAAAAAATAGTCAGGTAAGCTTAATACTTTTATTTACCTTAATTAAGTATCTTTTCATAAATGATAACAATGAAGCTTATACAATGTATTTAATAAAGGAATCTTATAGATTTTTAAATCATATTTATTATCCTTAATTAATAACATATAAATCATTTTAATTTTTATTTAAATTATGAGCAAATCAAATAATACAAGTACATATTAATGGACCTCCAGCATACTCCTTCATAATATAAAAATGTTTAAGTTTTCTATCTAGTTCCATATTGAGTTCTTTTAGCTCAAATTTTGATTGAACTTGAGTTGTGTAATGTAAATTACACATAATTAATCATCATGCAAATCCATCATATCATTACACAAGAAATACTTAACATACAAATTAGAACATCAAAGCATATATTTGTTATCATCAAAATCTCTAAAATAAATCATGAGATAGATCATATCAGTAGACTTGCATAGCCTACTCAAATCTAGATGGTTAGCTACAGTCAAACATAATTATTAATAGCATCCAAAGCCACTTATCACTTGGATTAGTAATCTAAAGATGTCACATGATTGTATTACTGATGATAAATCAAAATATTAATGATAAGATTAGGAGAAATTTTTTTGAAGAAGTCCAACACCTCTTAAATAAGCATAGCATATATAATGTGTATTTTAAGATTAATGCCTTGAGAAATGATGAAGTATCATATTCTTATTAACTAGAAAATTTGAATCTTCATAAATGAATTGCATAATAATATAAGACAATGTCCATACAATTAAAAGTCATTGATATGCTGCTCGTGACAATAACAAAGCCATTGAGACCTATAAAGAAGGTGGTAGCCCACTCAAGCTAAATTGATTTGTGCCAAACTATCTTTTGGTTGGGCACTTGGCTCAATCTGAGCCTTTCAAGATTTTGATTTAGGTGATCTAGTTATTCTAGAGTAAAGCATATTGAAATGCACCAAATCTATCTCCGGCTCAATCAAATTTAGGTTTTGTTAGGGATAAATTTCTTACTATTTTTTAAGACTACTTTCTCGAACAAAAATTTCTACTAAAAAAACTTTCTAATAGAAAACTACTTTAAAAGCAATAAGAAAGCTGTCTTAAATGAACCCTTAATTTAGTTCTTCTAAAATATTTTGATATGAATTATTATTTTTTCTTTGTTTTCCATGATAGAAGAAGAGGCGTTATATCTCACTTCCTCTACGTCGAAGCTTCTTGGCAATCCACAATGAAGAAAAATGAAATGCCGTAAGGTTATGTTGAATATTACAAAGTCTTTAAACATACTCTAATATTAATCTTATCCTAAATTCAAAAATTTCAAATTCCTGCATTTACATTATGTTATTTAAAAAAAAAACTTTAATTTAATAGTCTATTTGTTCATATCTTATCACTTAGTATATTTTTTTTCAACAAACCAAATAGTCTCCAACAAATTATATTTTGAACTAATTTAATTTATTGTTTAAATTTTAATTAAGCTAGTTCTTTAAATTAAAAATAATAATAATAAAATTTTGCTTCATTTATTGTAATTTGCTATTTTCTAAATAGAGCGGGTCCCAGTTTAACCACGTACAAAAGACCCGGGCAGTCTCCTTTAAATGAAAATTGAGCACATGCATGGATGCAGCGCCCCTCGTCAACAAACAAGTGCCGGTCCCCTACTACTGCCCGCACCCACATCCACACCCACTTGGCCCCACCCATCTAATATGCCCAGTCGGGTCCTAATTTGATTTTTATATATTTATAAACGAATGTCTAAAATTTTCGTGCACCCCAGGTTTTCATTATTTTGTATTTTTTTAATTTGTTGACAAAAAAAAATTATTATCAAATTTATTTGTTTGGCAGCTATTATCAGAACTTTATTAAGATAACATTTATAACAATCATAATAGTTATGTTTAGATATATATATTTCTGTTTTTTTTTTTGTAATTTGTTATACAAATATTTTTATGACTAATTTCATTAGAGTAATAGTTGTTATTAATATTTTTTAAAATTATAACAGCATAATAATTTTTATTTTTAAATTATAATTATAAATTATAAAGTATGTTATTTAAGCTCATAATTTTATAAATATAATTATCTTTTTTATCTAAAAAATTACCAATTCTCTCATAATTTTTTTTATTTATTAAAAATGATTTTATAATTAAATTTAAAAAATAATTAAAGATTCCACAAATACACTCTAAGTTGATAAAAGAAAAATAAAATCTCACTTATATTAACTTTATGCCAATTAAAAAAAAAAATTGTTACCAACTCATTCCAAGCACCTTCCTTTATCTCCCTTCCCTATCCTATAAGCCTATAAATAGCCCCCTATGGTCTCTCCTCCTCCGTCCACCCTTCAAACTAATAACTAGAAGCCTTTGCTCAGAAGAGAGAAACTAGCCTCTCTCTCTCTCTCTCTCTGGTTTCCTGCCTGCTCTGCTTCTGAAAACGCTGAGATATACAGAGAAAAAGAGAGATGGAGAGCAGAAGCTTCCCTGTGATTAACATGGAGCTTCTTGAGGGTTCTAAGCGCTCAGACGCCATGGCTGTTCTTCGAGACGGCTGTGAAAACTGGGGATTCTTCGAGGTGAAGCCCTGCTCTTACTTTTTGTCTCCCCTGAATTTTTTTTTGTGAAGATAAAATGATAGTAATTGGGAGAGCTTTTTTCTTTTAGTTTCAGACCTCTATATTAAGCAATTTTTATTAATATTTATATCATTTCACAAAAAATATATAAAAGCTCTAATTTTATTTTTCTTGAAATGATTTTTTTTTGATAATGATAGAAAAATTGTCAACAGAAGCCCATTATGGCATCTCCATGTGATTTAAAAGTTTCTACATAAGGAAGATCTTATATTATTTCTACATGTTTAAAATTACTCAATAATGTGAGCGTCCAGGAAACATGCAGCTTCTAAACAATTTCTCATAAGATATTGTTTTTTTTTCCCATACTTATTTATAAGAAACCTTCAAGCTCTCTTTATACTTTTTAAATTGGAAAATATGTAATAAATTTCTCAGAAAAGAAAATAATTTCAAGCCCTTCAAACTATTGTTGGGTGGCACCTTGGTTTTTTGGTTGGAATATTTGGCTATCAATCAAGAGATCTTGAGTTAGAATCTTACGATATGTGTATAAATTTTTCTTAATTAGCTTAAATGATAAAAAAAAACTATTGTTGGGTGCCCCTACATAAAATCTCTCTATACAAAATAAAAATTGATTCCTAAAAAAGATATTAATTAGAACCATCTACCAACTCATTTTCAAATGCATGGACCATAAGGAATTGAGAGCATGACTTTTTTTTTTTGGGAGAGAGAGGGTATTTTATTAGTTCATCTAGTTAAGATTTTGTTGGTGACAATTTTTTGTCACTTTTTTTTAAAAAATATTATATTAAAAGGCCGTTTAAAAAAAAAGTGCCATGGTTTTTTTTATGATATACGTTATTTAATTCAGTAGCTGCAAAATGATATAGGTATTAATTAAAATTTTAAAATAAATTTTAATAATATATTTTCACCCCCTCCGTGGTTTGTTATGATATTTTAATGAATTTTTTCCCTTGAAAGAAAATAGAGTAACTGATGGATGGAAATAAAATTAAATGCAGCTACTGAACCACGGAATCCCGCACGATCTAATGAACAGAGTCGAAACTGTAAACAAAGAACATTACCGCCGATTCCGCGAGCAGCGATTCAAAGAATTCGCTGCGAAAACCTTAGATTCCGGCGAAAATGTCGACGCCGAAAATCTGGACTGGGAAAGCACCTTCTTCCTCCGCCATCTCCCAACCTCCAACATCTCTCAAGTCCCCGACCTGGATGAGGATTGCCGCAGGACGATGAAAGAATTCGCTCTAGAGCTCGAGAAACTGGCAGAGAGATTGCTGGATCTGTTGTGCGAGGATTTGGGGCTTGAGAAGGGGTATTTGAAAAAGGTTTTTTGCGGCGGATCGGACGGATTGCCGACCTTTGGGACGAAGGTTAGTAATTATCCGCCGTGTCCGAAGCCGGAGTTGATAAAGGGATTGAGAGCTCATACGGATGCGGGAGGGATTATTCTGCTGTTTCAGGATGATAAGGTCAGTGGACTTCAGTTGCTTAAGGATGGTGAATGGGTTGATGTTCCTCCCATGCGCCATTCCATTGTTGTTAATATCGGAGATCAGCTTGAGGTAATTAATTTCTTCATTTTTTTTTAATTAAAAACTTGTGCTTGATGTTTGAGCAAATATAAATATTTATGCTTATGTTTGTAAACACTCGAAATCACTTTGAGTCTACTCAATATTGACTCAGCATTGATTTCAAGATGACTTGAATTTGAAATCTAACATATTAAGCAAGAAATCATCAAAACAGAATGGAAAATTCAAACTTGATGAAATGATCACAGGTGATAACAAATGGAAAATACAAGAGTGTGATGCACAGGGTGGTGGCGCAAACCAACGGCAACCGCATGTCGATTGCATCCTTCTACAACCCTGGCAGTGACGCCGTCATCTTCCCGGCGCCAGAGCTGGTAGAGAAAGAGGCGGAGGAGAAGAAGAAGGAAACTTATCCAAAGTTTGTGTTTGAGGATTACATGAAGCTGTATGTTCGCAAGAAGTTTGAGGCTAAGGAGCCAAGGTTTGAGGCTATGAAGACTATGGATGCTGTTATTAGCTCTCAGCTGATTCCTACTGCTTGATTAAGTAATTAATTAATTGGCTGGCATTTGGAAACAAATTAGTTATTTATGTGTAGGGTCTGGTCTGGTGGTGTGATTGGAAGAATTATGTCTATGTTTGGAGTAGTATGTCATTTCTAAATATATTTATGTTGATGTTGTCTATGGAAAGCTAGCTATTAAATTTGTTCCTTATCGTTTCAGTGTTATGAGATGTAGTCTTCAGTTATTCAATTCTTGAATATTAGCAACAGTTTGTCAACTAGTCTTTTTTTTTTTGCTTTGGGCTTTGTTCCGAATATTTTTTTTTTGAAGTAAATTTTAATATAAAAATTTTAGTTCAAAAAATTATTTATTAAAAAGTGATAAGAAAGCTGTTTCAAATAAAATCTAAGATTTGCTTGGGGCACCTCGCTTGATATGTTGCAAGAGATCTCGAATTTGAGTCAAAACATTGGCTTTGCCCCCCACCCTATATTTCAATAGCATGAAGTCATTAATATGTTATATACTTTATAAATTGTCATATCATAGGCCTCTGCCTATAGAATAGGTGGTCCAAGAAGAAGCTATTGTTAAATATAATAAAATTTAATAGGAATATATCTTCAAAAAATTAATTATGATTGGGCACAAATCTCAAGGTAAAATCAAGTGGGAAACATCCAAAATTAAATCTGGGACATCCAAACTCTGATTTCAACAAACTTTTAGTCGAACTAAGCTTCTCGAAAAGATAAATCCAACGGCACCAAATTCGACTCAATCCGAGCCCAAATGGTCCAAATCAAAGAGTCAAAGCATCTTTGGAAGGTTCAAACCATAAATTGGATGACCAAACAATTTCCAAACGTGACATGCTTATAGTTGAATCGAGCGACTCGATAAGAAAAATCCAATGAGCCTAAGATCGTCGATTTATGCTATCATTAAGAATTCAAATGTCCAATAAATGATCCAGGATCAAGTGGATCAATATTAGATATCCATTTAAACTACTCCCAACGTACCCTTGATTTCCTTGCTATTTACTAGTCATGTCACTCCCAAAAAATTTTAAATATACCACTCATTCTTCATTGAAGGGAACTCAAGAAAATAAGAGAAGGGCGAGAAGGAAGAAAGAAAAATCAGAATTCTCTTGACATCAGACTCCTCCTCATCCTTCGCTTAGTCACCAAACTTTGTTGGATGATCGCTGGACTTTCAACGACCATCAACTGACGCCGAACTTCTGTCCTACCATTGAATGAGGCTAGACTTTCTCCAGGACACCAATTGACCCCGAACTTCCGCCCGACAACCAACTAATGCTGGATTTTTACCTGACCTCCGAACATAACCAGATTTCCATCTAATTTCTACTCATCGCTAGATTTCAACTTGACGGTTAACTGTTATAATCTAATCATCCTCAATTTCAAGAAATGACCACTCATTTGTAATATATTCAAACATTAGTGGAATCATTTCAACTGAAAGTGACCCCATGATTTTTCCCTTCAAGGTTTTCCATGTAAAAAATTATTATGTTTATTATTTCTCTTTGTGTATACTAGATACTCATGCAATGCTAAGACATGAAGTTTTTCATACTTTACTACAGTGAATATTCTAGCCCACAACAGTTTGGCGCCGTCTGAGAGAAACTTAATACCACTCTCATAAGTACTTCTTTAAAGGCCAACAAACATAGCAACCACAACTTGGGAGCATCCCACTCCAACACACATCAATCCAAGAATCAGTTTATGAATCAGGGATGCCAAACATCTGCCTCTTTTTATTCTGACGGGAAAAAATCTACTGAAGAATGAACTTCAGGACTATCCCTAGAAGATTGTATCTGAAAGATTGAAGAATCTCAAAATGAGATCCTTCAACTTCCATGAGAATCTTGACAACCGGTGTTAGCTTAATAAGAGGAGATTCATCTCCCTCAAAATCCACCACTAAATAGAGATTTTAACATGAGAAATTTCAAGCAATACCTCCTCTCTCTCATTCAAGGATGCATCCCCCATCATGTAAAGATAACGAACTTGCTGACATAGCAAGATCTACCCATCTTTCGTGTATAGGATAACAACCTTTCATTCCTCAAGTTATTACGAAAGACCTAAATTGAACTTACGTTACTAATCTCCCACATAATGCTTTACATCATAAACTATGCCACTCAACGCATCTCGAGCAAATGTACTGATGGCCCTTCAAGATGAAGAAAAATTTAAGTGGCTTAATCCTTCAATGGTTTCATCGTAGTCAGGAAATAAGGATCAATACTATCATTTTAATCATAGTCATGGCCACACCACTTAAGTTTGTAAGCATCTCAAGGATGAAATTGAGATATATATATATATATATATCTAACAAGGCTACCTTCAATAGTTTATTCTCGAGAAGAGGATCATCCTATTGAGGGGAAAAATCAACAATAGTAGTAGATGAAGAGCTTATTTCCTAGTTGAATAATCATCAAATGGTTGGTGAGATTGCCCCTTATTTCCTAATTAAATATTATTTGTAGTAGATGAAGAGCTGGCACCAAAGAAGTCCCATATCAATCAATCTATTATTTTTTATGATTCTGATTTGGAGAGAGTAAAAATCCTTCATCAATATCCACTCGTGATTAATAGGAGAATAGGTGACCAGTGTACAATGTCAAAAGAATTTTGGTGGACAATGGGAGCTTCGTGGATGTCTTATTATACTCAAATTTTCTTAATATGGGTTTTACCAGAGAAAAAATTTAACCCACCACAGGTTTGCTATATGGATTTGATAATCGACCCATATGAGTATAAGGGATAATTAGCCTCCATATTATACTCAGAGAATTTTCTCGATAAGTATTCAAACAATCGATTTTATTTTGGTAAAGTTAGAGTCAACTTATATTATTATATTTGGAAGACCCCTCCTATCAATCTTTGGAGTTGTCGCCTCTACTCTGCACCTCAAACTAAAATTTTTCACCCTTACTAAGATCGATATAGTGAGAGAGATCGACCAACAAGTGGCATAATCTTGCTATCCAAGGCAGGCATAACCGTGCCCTTCAGTCACTTTAAGCATTGAGGATATTTATCTTCGAAATCAAGATATCCCTCGCAGGGCTTCTCCCATGGAAGTCCTTATTTCTATATCTATATTAGAAGAATACCCTTCAAGGACTGTGCAGATTGGGTCTCTTATCTTAAATGAAGAAAAAATATGTAGATTTTCCACGTAAGAATTAAGATTTTTTGCATGGGGTTTAGCTAATATGCCAAGAATCGACCAATAATTGATTGTGCACTCCCTCAAAGTAAACCTTATGTGTAATCCAGTAATCTAGAAGAAATGAAATTTTGCTCCATATCGACAACAAACAATCTAGTATGAGGTAAATAAACTCATGAAAGCTGGATTTATATGGGATGTGAACTATCCCACCTGGCTGACAAATGTCGTCAATGTGCGGAAGGCTAAATCGAGCTTGGAGAATATGCGTTGACTATAAAAATCTCAGCAAAGCCTGCCCAAAGGTTAGTTTTTCTCGTCCATATATTGACCTGTTAGTCAATATCACATCCATACATCAAATGTAGAGTTTTATGTATTCCTTTTATGGTTATAATAAAATAAATATATATCTTATAGATAACGAGGCAACGAAATTTTGAATAGATAAAGGGTTATACTGTTATCGGTTCATACAAATCGGGCTCAAAATTTCCAAAGCCACATATTAACACCTAATGAATATAATTTTCAAAGACTTAATTGGGCGCACTATGGAAGTATGTGTTGATGATATGTTAGTGAAAAACTTTTAAAATTGTCAACATATATCTCACATGGAATAGTGCTTCCATCTGTTACGATGCTACAACATACAACTCAACCCTACTAACAATGCTTTTGAAGTCGCTTCAAAAACGTTTTTAGGGTTCATGATAACATAACAAAGGATTGAGGTTGATCCCGACAAAATTAAGGCACCAAGAGATCTGGTACCCCCGAGGAATATCAAGGAAGTCTAGAGAGTGTATGGAAGACTCGCAATACTATCTCATTTCCTAGCCCTCTCGGGGGAAAAATATCTGTCTTTTTTCAAGATACTCATAGGTGCTCGTAGTTTTGGATTCCAATTGACTGATAAATGTTATGAATCTTCCAAATAATTAAAAACGTATTTAGCAGTGCCACCATTACTTTTTAAAACTAATGTCGGGAGAAAAGTTATATTTATACATGGATGTTTCTACCCATATAATTAGCTCGGTCTTAGTACAATAGGAAAATGCTATATAAACACTCATCTATTATGTTAGTAAATTCTTATAAAAAATAGAGGGGCATATCCACTAGTTGATAAAACAACTTTGGCGTTAGTTTACTTCACTAGGAAATTATGTCGATACTATCAAGCCCATACAATTAGAGTTTATACAAATCTACCTTTGAGAAGTATCCTATAAAAGCCAGAAGTATTAGACAAATTAATTAGGTTGTCTGTGGAGTTAGGACAATAAATACTCCCATGAGCTCCAGTGTTCAGTTGGATAAGGACTCAAATATAAAATATGTTGATCAAAAGAAGTACAGAGGAATGATTGAAACTGCTTTACTTGACTACTAGTCAACCTGATATAGTGTTTAGTGTTTATCTTTATGCTAGATTTTATGTTGATCCTAAGGAATCCCACATGACTGCAGTTAAGAGAATCCTTATATATCTCTTAGGGACCCAAAACTTAAGAATCTGGTATCCTAAGTACAACACTTCTTTTGAAATTATTGGATATTCTGATTTTAACTTTGCAGGGTGTAAGCTGGATAGAAATAACACTTATGGATCTTGCCAATTTATAGGGCAGTCTTTAGTCTCCTAGTTTAGTAGAAAATAAAATTCTATTACACTTTCTATTGCTGAAGCTGTGTATATTTTCTTAGGAAATTATGCGGCACAAGTCTTTTGGTTGAAGCATCAAATTCTAGATTTAGGATTACCCATAGGCACAATTTCAATCCTATGTGACAACACTAGTACCATTTGCATCTCTAAGAATCATATCCAATATTCAAGGACCAAACACATTGACATAAGGTATCACTTTATTAGGGACCATGTTACCAAAGAAGACACTAAGTTATACCATTGTGGCAACTAAGAATCAACTGGCTGACATCTTTACTAAACCACTAGCCTTTGACTTATTTAACATCTTAAGGACCAAATTAAGTGAGATTGACATTAAGGTATGAATT